GCTGAGTCTGGGGGTGCTGAGCCTGGGGGTGCTGAGTCTGGGGGTGCTGAGCCTGGGGGTGCTGAGCCTGGGGCTGCGGAGCCTGGGGGTGCTGAGTCTGCTCGTGTGGTCTCTCGCGGTGCTTCGTCAAGGCGGGAGCTACTCTCTCCGCAGGAGCTGCGCGAGTGGTTTGCCTGGCGCTGGAGCCGTGCTGCTGGAGCTGGAGGTACTACTGTTGCTGCTGGTCCCGGAGGTGCTCGAACTGGAGGTACTGGAGCTACTGGGGCTGGGGGTGCTGCTGGGGCTGTTGGAGTTGGTCCTGCTGGAGGTACTGCTGGAGCTGCCGGCGGTACTGGAGCTGCCGGTCCTGCTGGCGTTGGTGCTGCTGGAGCTGCTGGAGCTGGAGCTGCTGGGGGTGTTGGCGCTGGTGGTTCTGCTAGCGCTGGTGCGTCTGAGGGTGCTGGAGTTGGCGCTGTTGGAGCTGGAGGTGCTGCTGGCGCTAGTGCTGCCGCTGGGGGTACTGGTGCTGTCCCTGCTGGTTCTGGAGGCGCTGCGCGGCCGAGGCCGTACTTCGTTCCGCTCCTTGAGCAGGTTCTTGGTCTCCCGCCCTCTACTGGTCCTGCTCCTCCCTTAGAGTGTCCATAGCCTGTCCAGTCGCGGTCACAGTTACAGCCCGCCTCCCCCCTACCTGCTCCTTCTCCCTACACTGGTCCTACTGGAGGTCTTGCTGAGCGTCGTGAGCCTGCGTCTCGTCCTGCGTCGCCTGTTCGTGCTGCCCGCACTAGTGGTCGTGCTTCGCGTCCGCGTCCTCCTGCGGTCCCAGGCACACACCAGATGGCACTGCGTCCTTCCACTGCTCCTCTGCGTGTCCCGTTGCCGTCTCCTCCAGAGTCCTCTCTTCCTGTTCTTGCTGACCCGGAGTCTGACTCTCTTCGTGCTACCAGTCCTACTGTCACGAGTCTCCTGGCTACTGTTGTCACTGACCCTTCCTTTGAGTCCACTGCTGCGTCTGCCCTAGTTGCTGAGCTTGTCGACTTTGCTGCTCGCTGTCGTCTCGACTACTCTGCTAGTCTTGTTGCTGAGTCTGAGTCTGTCTGTCCTCCGTCCGTCGGGGGTGAGTGTGCTCTTATCACGGACGTCCTTGAGGACAGGCAGGAGGAGTTCCAGTGTTTTTCTGCTGCTTTGCCTCATCTCGTGTCCACGCTGATTGCCCCTGAGGGAGACCCGGATGCACCAGACATCCCGACTCCTCGATCGTACGCTGAGGCGATCGAGGGTCCCTACTCCTCACAGTGGCAGTCAGCCATGGACGCAGAGATGGCTTCCTGGAAGTCCACAGGCACCTACGTCGACGAGGTTCCCCCACCTGGGGCGAACATCGTCAGTGGCATGTGGATTTTCAGGGTGAAGCGGCCGCCGGGTTCTCCGCCTGTCTTCAAGGCGCGTTACGTGGCTCGAGGCTTCAGTCAGCGGCAGGGAGTTGACTACTTTCAGACCTTCTCTCCCACCCCGAAGATGACCACTCTTCGGGTGCAGCTGCACATAGCCGCTCAGCGTGACTACGAGCTTCACTCTCTTGACTTCAGCACAGCTTTCCTGCAGGGCAGCCTGCACGAGGAGATCTGGCTGCGCCGCCCACCTGGCTTCACTGGGTCGTTTCCTCCTGGTACCCAGTGGAGCCTCCGGCGGCCAGTCTACGGTCTCCGCCAGGCGCCCCGTGAGTGGCACGACACACTGAGGACTACACTTGCGGCTCTTGGGTTTGCTCCTTCTACAGCCGACCCGTCGCTGTTTCTGCGCACCGACACCTCTTTGCCGCCGTTCTACATCCTCGTGTACGTCGACGACTTGGTCTTTGCCACTGCTGACACTGCTGGACTTGCCCACGTGAAGTCCGAGTTGCAGAAGAGACACACGTGCACAGACCTGGGTGAACTGCGCAGCTACCTTGGCTTGCAGATCACCCGGGACAGAGCACAGCGCACCATTACCCTGACTCAGTCACACATGGTGCAGCAGGTCCTTCAGCGCTTCGACTTCACGTACTCCTCGCCTCAGGCTACTCCTCTGTCTACTCGCCACTCGCTCTCAGCTCTGCCTTCGGATGAGTCCGTAGAGCCGAGTGGCCCGTACCCAGAGCTTGTTGGCTGCCTCATGTACCTGATGACCTGCACACGACCTGACCTTGCATACCCTCTTAGCATCTTGGCACGCTATGTTGCTCCTGGGAGACACCGACCAGAGCACATGGCTGCAGCGAAGAGGGTGTTGCGCTACTTGTGCAGTACGTCGGGCATGGGGCTAGTGCTTGGAGGGCGACGTCCAGTGGTCCTCACAGGTCACGCAGACGCTTCTTGGGCTGACGACCAGGCTACGCAGCGGTCGTCACAGGGTTACACCTTCAGCCTTGGCTCCGGCTCTGTTTCGTGGCGGTCTACCCGCTCGTCTTCTGTTCTCGGCTCCAGCTGTGAGGCTGAGATCTACGCGGGGGCCATGGCTGCACAGGAGCTACGCTGGCTCACCTACCTGCTGACTGACCTAGGAGAGCCGCCTCGTTCTCCTCCAGTTCTGTACGTAGACAACAAGGCCATGCTGGCCTTGTGTCGGGAGCACAGACTGGAGCACAGAACGAAGCACATTGCTCTTCGCTACTTCCTTGCTCGTGAGCTGCAGCAGCGTGGTTAGCTGCGCCTTGCTTACGTGGCCTCTGAGGCCAACACTGCTGATATCTTTACCAAGGCACTTCAGCCTGGTGATCATCAGCGCTTCTGAACGATGCTAGGTCTTGTGCCTACTTGGCCTCACTTGCTCACTTCTTGACCTTGCTTGTACTGTGATCATTCTATACCTGCACTTGCCTGTTTACCTTTATATATGATCTTGCATGTGAACTGGCCTTTTGGCCTTGCTCTTGTGCTCGGATTGTGTGGTGACGTTGTGATCCACCCTGAGCTTGCTTTGCTTTGCTTGACTGGTCTTGTGACCTCTTGTTCTCCCCCACTTTGCCTATGGGGGTGTGTCAAACTTATATGCTATAGTCTGTGTAGGCTGTAGTGGGGTAGACTATATGGGGTACAACATTTCTAGGTTTTCCTACTTGTACCCACCTGCTTGCTAGTTCATTCATTCCTCATTCTTCACACATCAATCATCAGCGACAGAGACACGAAATTCACCAGCAACTTCTGGCGGAACCTGTGGCAGCAGTTCGGCACGCGACTACAGTTTAGTTCATCGTACCACCCCGAAACAGACGGACAGACAGAACGGACAAATCAGACCATGGAACAGCTCATCCGGGCCACGTGCGACGACCCAAACACGTGGGAACAGCAACTGCCACTCATCGAATTCGCATACAACAACGCCCCATCCGCCACGACCCAACAGTCACCGTTTTACCTGAATTACGGACAAGACCCAACAGTACCCATGACCCCGAATCCCGACAACCCGGTTCCACGCGCACAACAGTTCGCCGAAATTTTGCAAGCAGCACGGACCAGGGCAGCAGACGCAATTAAAAACGCTAACATCATCGCTAAACGCAACGCCGACCGCCACCGCAGACCTGTCACTTACCAGCCCGACGACTTAGGGCGCATTCCCGGCCTCGGGTCTTCCGGTGTTCGGGTCTTCCGAAATTGTGGGATCCAATCGGAAAGTCCGCGTTTCGAGCTTTGAATTTTGGGATTGGATCCCACAATTTAGGAAGACCCAAACGCCCGGAAGACCCGAGGCCGGGAATGCGCCCTTAGTTTTGCTCGACACCCAAAATCTCCGACTGCCCATCACCCCGAAACTCCGCCCCCGATACTGCGGGCCATTTCGCATAAGCCACATGCTTACACCTGTCACCGCCCACCTCCTCCTCCCTGCTGACTGGTACGTCAGCCCCTCATTCCACGTCAGCCTGCTTCGCCCTTACGTCCCGTCCACGAACCAACTGCCACGCAATCGCCCAGCCAGCATGACAAGACCACTGACTGAACCAATCATCACCCCCGAGAAAATCCTGAGTCACAGAGTTCGCGACCCTCGAGGAGCCCGAAGGATCGAGTTCTTACTCCGCTGGAAGGACCGTACACCCACCGAAGACAATTGGGTTCCCCTGGACAGAATCGAAAACCACCCCGTCCTCACCGAGTATCTGCGCAGCCGGAATTTCAGGGAAGTACACGCACTTTCGTAAGGAAGACCTCCTTAAGGGGGGGGGGGGTAGTGTAAGGAAAATCTCTTTTTCCTTGCTTCGCGTCCCTGCTCAACGCGTACATCACTGTAGCACCACAGTCAGCACCGTTACCACTCGCAATCCTCGCATCGACAATCCGCCCGCCACCTTCGCACGTCGCACCCCGACCTCACGGCTCGGCGGGTAACCCGCGCTCCGGGCCTCCGCTTCGACACTTTTCCCAACCTCAGTCACAGGCCCGTCGCGCGACAACCACAGTCCATTACCGTTACCACTGTAGTTTCGCTATATATTCTTCGCTCATGCCTTCGCTCATTGTACTCTTGCTTCGATAGTGCAATTCTCGTTCGTTCACTCAATTGCACTCGTAACAATTGCACGCCTCTACTTGTGCAACATATCGGCATCCAAGAACTAGGATTTCACAACCATTGTGAAAACGCCAAGTGTACGGCTGCGATGTCGCAGAAGCGAACAAGAACGGGTATCACATGAACCCTGAACTGTACCAGGGAGGCGTGCGAGTGCGACACTCATAATCGAACCAAAAACTAATCGCAACCTCCCAAGTGCGCGACTCTGTTTCTGCCGTAATTGTCGTAAACGAATCGCTGAAATGGGGCAAACGCCCGTAGTTGAAAACAAGTAGGCCAAGACAGGAAACTAGTTGCATGCGTAACCCTGTAGCTTGGCGATGCCGCAACGGAAGTTTTCTCGATAAACGGAGGCAGGTTTTCTATCAGACGCGCCCTCGAACTCCTCTGGAAAGGCCATCCCGCGACGCGACCAAGGCAATGAAAGTGTGAGCCAGACATAGGCTAACAGAAGCATGGGCGCGCAGAGGCATGGGCGCGCAGAGGCATGGGCGCGCAGAGGCATGGGCGCGCAGAGGCATGGGCTCGCAGAGGCATGGGCGCGCAGAGGCATGGGCGCTCAGAAGTACCCTGGTCCCATTTCCTCCTCCTATTCCCCCCACTCATCCCACCTCTTATACCCCCCCAACCATGCCTCTCTCCCAATCCCCCTTCCCATTTCTCATCAGTTCCCCCCTCTCCGATTCCGCCCTCCAGTCCACACCACTTATTCCCTCTTCCATCTCCCCTCCCTTCCCCGCCCTTCCATTCCTCCTCCCATTCCCCGCCCCTCCCGTTCCCCCTCCCATCCCCCCTTCCCACCCATTTTCCAGTCGCCCCCACATTGTTCATCCCTTTCCCCTCCCTCGTATTCCCCTCTCTCGTCCACCTTTCCGTTCCACTCTCCCATTCCCCCTAACCACCCCCCCCCCTCTCCAATTCCCCCTACATGTTCCCCTCCCATTCCCCCGTCATTCCCCCTTCCCACCGTCAACACTTCCAAGTACCCCCTCTCCCTCTTATTTCCCTCTCTCATTCCCCCCCCTCCCATGCACCACACAGCCTGCAGCCATGTGCGGGCCTATTAACAAACCACGAGGTGTTTGAGCTGCTCACAGACCGAGGCGCCATGGGAGCAGTGGACGTGTCACAGGGCGGCATGGGGCCGGCAGCCATAGAGTGCCAGGTCTACACCTATCTCTGCGCCGCCCCTGCCGCCACACAGACGCGGGCGGCCGTGGCTGCGTGCACGGAGCGGGCGGCAACATTTGGACTGACGCGGATGGAAACGCTGCAGCTGGTGAATCTGAGGCCGTCCCAGCCTGTAGAAGCACACCTGGTGGGTGACAAACATTTCCTATAAGCACACCGGGTAGGTGGCAGTGCGTCGCTCCTTATCTCATCCCAAGCAGTGGTTGAATCACAGCCACTTGTTTAGAGTAATCTGATCTTCTGCCCTCTTTCTCTCGAGCTTTCGTCCCATCTTGCTACTTCCTCTCTTGTCATCTCTCTCACTTCTCCATCACTGCCCCGTGGCAGATCATAGCAGACTGTGAAATGCGTCTGCCAGGCGAGAGGGTGGAGCAGCTGCTGCAAGTGGTGGAAGAGACACTGCCCGCTGCACCAGAGCTGGAAGGAGGTGCAGAGGAGGAGGAGGGGGGTTGAAGGCACCACGGTTGGTGGGAAGGGAACCGTTGCCAGCAGCTGTTGCAGCTGATGGTAAGTTGTGTCTACCAGGCAAGAGGGTGGAGCAGCTGCTGCAAGTGGTGGAAGAGACACTGCCCGCTGCACCAGAGCTGGAAGGAGGTGCAGAGGAGGAGGAGGGGGGTTGAAGGCACCACGGTTGGTGGGAAGGGAACCGTTGCCAGCAGCTGTTGCAGCTGATGGTAAGTCGTGTCTACCAGGCAAGAGGGTGGAGCAGCTGCTGCAAGTGGTGGAAGAGACACTGCCCGCTGCACTGGAGCTGGAAGGTGCGGACGAGGAGGATCCAGTTGAGGGGGGTTGAAGGCGCAAGAGGCTAGTGAATGCTGATGCATAGTAGAGCTTGTTGAAAGGTGGAGCCCTCTTTATTGTGGAGCCAAGCGGATGTATGCATCTATGGCAAGACACAGCAATTGAAGCTGAGTTTTGATTGTATTTCTTAACAGAGTCAGTGGGTGGGTGCTGCTGTTGGGCTGAGAAAAGCCCTTAGGATCTTTGCAGGACTAAACTCTGAGTAGGAACAATGTAATACCGTAATACCCCGGATATAAGCGCATCTGCGCTTATAATAAAACAGTGTTTTTTAGGGGGGTGCGCTTATAAATGAGTCAAAATTATAAGCGCATGCGCTTATATAATAACAAACACAGAAATATGTTATAAACGCACCAAACTGTGCATTAGAGTCTTGCAATTTCATTCAAATCGAAATGTGTGGAGCGTTCTGAATCAGAATCGCGTGAGGGCGATTCTCTGCCGGCGCACAAGGGCAAGGACACGTCACTTTCGCATAGGAATGTGTCATGCTCGCCCCAGTAGAGTGTACGAACCAATAGCTTGCAGTCGCTCGTTCGCATCGCACAGGCTTGCCCCAGTGTACGACCAATAGCCTGCAGTCGCTCGCTCGCAGCGCACAGACAACAGGTGTTCCCGAGCCCCCCTGTCAGGTCAACTTCGCGCTGTTGCGCTTTTCCTGAGCGAGCCCGCCCTCGAGGGAGTCAAACAGAGTAGAAGTGGATGTGGACTCGCTTCAAAACGGGAAGTCGTTACTGTTTTAATCCGTTTTTTTGAAATATGTTTATACATGCGCTTATAATAAATCAGGGTTTTATAAGGGGTGCGCTTATAATTGAGGATCGGCCATACGCGCATTGCTCCAGATATAAGCGCATGCGCTTAACATAGGCCTGCGCTTATATCCGGGGTGATACGGTAGCGGAAGCGTTTAATGATGAATCTGTGAACCACCTTGCGCTGGTATGTGAGGGCAAAGTAGATTGATTAAAGCAAAGAGATACAAGCTTTTATAAGAGTACAAGGAATACGAAGAGATATAGTTAATAACAGTTGTACTATTGCTGTTGCGGTTCGATACAGTGACGACTCGGGCAACTGCTCAATAACGAGTCAGTTGTTTGTCCTTGCTGTCGCGCTGTATTTGTCAGGTCAAAGGTCGCTGACCTTTGACTTTCGCGTAACCTCCAGCAGTTGCTCAACCTCCGAAGGTTGACTCGCTGATGCTTCGCTGTGTTTCGCTTCGTTTACGACTTAGTGTTTCGACACGACAGAGGCGCTTAAATCACTTGTTTCCAACACTCCCCTTCGCTTCTGGAGTGTCGTTGCTGATGACGTGGCCTTGTCCATTCAGCAGCATGCAGTACTCGAACTTCTGCTTTCCGAGCTTCTTGGTCAAGTAATCAGCTGCCATCTCAGACGTGGGGCAGTACGACAGCTCGAGTCTGCCCTTCTCGATCTCGTCCTTTACGAAGAAATATCGCAGGGCGATGTGCTTCGTCCTGTTCGCGAATCCGTTTTTGTTCGCGATGCGAATTGCAGACTGGTTGTCGCAGAACAGAGAGAAGCTGGGTAACTGGGCCAGTTTCGCCTCTTCCAGCAGTTCGCGAAGGTAAAGTCCTTCCTTGGTGGCTGAGCAGAGTGCAATATATTCTACTTCAGCTGAGGAGAGAGCAATTAGTTCCTGTTTGCTCGACTGCCATGAGATGGGCCCGATAGGCTCGAGTCGGTAGATATCGCCGGTGCGCGAGCGTCTGTTGTTGGACTCACCGGCATGATCGGCGTCGACGTAGCCAATTAACTTAGGTGTCGAGGTTCCGTTCTTGTGATAGGTGAGGCCGATCGCCGGAGTGCTAACGAGGTAGTGAAGAGCACGGTCGAGCTCCGCCATGTGTTCTGCTTCGGGCCTTTTGAGGTAGGTGGCGAGTTGACTCGCAGAGTACGATAGATCCGGACGGCAGGTGACGGCCGCGAAGAGGAGGCATCCCAGCTTTCTCTGGTAGTCGCGTATGCCAGCGGGTTTGAGTAGAGCGGAGCTTTCCTTGTCATCTCCGGTGGTGTAGCGGTATGGCGTGGAGATGGCGGTCGGGGAGAGTCCGAAGCGTTTGGCGATGGTGTCGGCGTATTTCGCGGCGTTGAGATAGATCGCGCCTTCCTCTTCCTGGATGTTGAGGCCGAGGTATTGCGTGACGGTTGATGACACTGTGAGAGCGAGGCCCTGCTGCAGCTCCCCTTCGAACCAAGTAGTGACGCTGTCAGTCGAGCCGATGTAGAGCAGATCGTCCACGTAGATGATGAGCAGAATGTAGTCGTCACCTTTCGTGAGCCGGTACATGCCCTGGTCGTGCGGAAGTTGGCGGAATCCGATGCGGATAAGTCTAGCATGTAGGTACTGTTCCCACAGTCTCGGGGTCTGTTTAATACCGTACAGAGACTTCAGCAGCTGACAGACTTGGTTGGGCTCTCCGTTGGAGCCGTGTGGAAGTTCGACGAAGATTTCGGCGTCAACAGGTGCGTAGAGAAATGCATTGGCGACGTCAATTTGCCGCAGCTTCTTCTTCTTCATGGCGGCGATCGCGAGGACAATTCGAAGCGAAGTGTGTCGGCTGACCGGGGCGAACGTCTCGGTGAAATCACGTCCGTGCTCTTGGTCGAAACCGCGCACGACCCAGCGCGCCTTAAACTTGTCGATGGTGCCGTCTGCCTTTGTCTTCACACGGAAAACCTATTTTTTCGGTGAGTACCGTTTTGTTGCGTGCCACGCCGACGGGAACGACTTTCCAGGTGTTCCATTCTTCCAGCGCTTTCAGTTCCTTGTCCATGGCTTCGCGCCACTTTTCCTTATGCTCCCCCCCCAGAGCCTGCTGAACTGTCGCAGGCTCCTTAGGAATCGCTGTGCTGTGGACCGCGGTGACGAGGCCGAGTATTTGGAGGCCACTCTGTGTGTAGCGGGGAAGTGTCGTGTCCTCGGGATAAGCTGCTTCGTCTCCTGCTTCTGGGCCAGGTATGAAATTGGGCCCTATGCGTTCTGCTTCGTTGGTGTTGACTCTTGAAGGCGTAACGTAACCGTTGTCGGCGATGTGATAATATACTTCGGCGTTGACGCTTTCGCGAGGATTTTCGTCATCCATTGGGACGTCGACAGAGCAGTAAGGGAGAGGTCCGGCTTCCTCCGTGTTGGTGCAACCCTACGGTTTGCACTCGGCTTGTTGTCCGTGTGCGTGCATGTGTGTGTGTGTGTATGGAATGGTATGAGGGCATGGGATAATATATATTTCATGCTTATAATTGTGTGTGAATGTTGAGTCATGATGTCGAGTGTGTGTGTCGAGTCAATAGCGAGTTATCGCTAGACGTGTCTTACGCGGTCGTTTGTGTCTCGCGCGCGGTTTCTATTTTGTCGTGCGCGGTTTCTATTTTGTCCTGTGTCGAACGTTCGGTGTGTCGCAGGTGTGTGTGCAGCAGACCCATCAAGAACTCAAGGATGAGTTTGTGATGAAGAGCCCGAGCCTTGGTGTCAAGCCTCAAGTGATTTCGAAGCTCGCCAAAAGGGTACACCTCAAGATATTGAAGATAGTTACATTACTTTGTGTAGTGTAACCTTTCACTTGGTGTAGGCCCTAGTGAAGGGTAGTTTCGAGACCCTTCGTGGTTGGGGACAGTGTGGCACTGTTCCACATCACTGTATCTCGGCTCTTGGGGTTTGTAGGAGCTGGGAGTCATTCCCAACTCGTAACCCTTGCTAACTCTTCCTATCTTGTGTTCTAAGACTATAGTGGCTGCCATAGTGCCGTTCGTTCAAACCGACGTTGTGTCGTCAATACTTGGTCGAATCGTGCGATCTAAATTGCCTATTGTAGGCGACATTAAGACGCGCCAGATCCAAGTTGAATCAGGTCATTTGAAGCCGTGACCAGAACGCTATGAACGTTTGAAGCCGCTGTGCAGAAATTCGGCTGTGCACTCTATCTTTCGTTTTAGGCACATTGGAGCCTACTGTGACTATAACACTCCGAGGCTTCGTCCACGTTCTGTTCGTCCCAGTCAGCTTTGTCTGCTGCCGAAGCGAAGGCTCGGTCACCATGAAAACCACCTGTGGGGTCCCGGTCTTCTTCCAGGTTGGCAAGGTACGTCGGAAGTGTGAGTCGCTCGTAGAAAATGACATCACGTGCTGCTACTGTTTCCTTTGAGTGGACGTAAAAAATCTTCCACGCGTTGTAATTCTTTTCGATGCCCAGGTTAGTCCCCACTGTGCGCGTTGGGAGAATTGGCCGGCTCGTGGAGCTGGGGGTCGGTACTGTACCATGCAGCCGAAAACTCTTAACATTTTTGTTCTGCCCTGTTTTCCTGTCCACAGCAGGTGCGGTGATGCGTTGTTCAGGAGCGACGATGACGAGATCAAGTTGTGCAGCATGACAGCGTGGTCCATTGCTTCGAGCCATTGGTGGTTGGGAAGTCGCATGCCACGTAGCAGCTTGCGCATGGTGTTCTGGAGAGTCTTGTTCATTCTTTCTGCTACACCTTGCTGTTGATGGGCGTAGGGAAGAGAGATGAGCCGCTTGATTCCCCTCTCTGCCAAGTACTGCTTGAACCGCTGTGAGGTGTATTCTCCTCCTCCGTCTGACTGGAAGCTCTTTAGCTTCGCGCCTGATTCTCGTTCTGCTACTGGGAGCCAGGCGACGAAAGCCTCGAAAGCCATGTCTTTGCTCGGAAGATTGAGGTGCCAAACGTAGCGTGTGGCGGCATCGATGAACGTGATGGTGTAGCTGTATGCTCCTTGTCGAGGTTCGCGATTGTACAGGATGTCGCTGTACACTTTCTCGAGTGGTGCGTAAGCTGGTGCGCTCGGGTTGTGGTGAGAAACGAACGGCCGATGTGGTAAGTCGGCTTCGGGGCAGGTAAAGCACGTTCCGCGAGCTCGTCGAAGTTCGCTTCCGTCGGTTAGAAGTAATGAGTCTTTGTCGAGCACCCCTACTCTAATTGTGTTATTTAACACTGTGTTGCTTGGAT